ATGTCAAGCTCTTAGAAATTCTCTAGCACTTATTGTATTTCTTCTATCCAGGATTGCTACATTTTTCCAGTCAAATTCATGTCCACAGTTGTCAGCGGAGATATGTCATGACGTTTATTGGTAGTTGATGTTCATGTAGCCGTATGCGAAGAGGGCGACCACTCTGTCCGATGTTGAGCTTTTCATAGTTTCCGCAGTTTATTTTGTGGGTAATGTTTGGTTTGTATTCCTTTGCTATTCCATCTTTTGGCCTACATAACAGAGAGTGAAGAGATTTGTGGGCTTGTGAGCCACAGTGATTTCTAGTCGTGGTCTCAAATATATTCTTCATGTAAGGTAAGAAAACGCATTTGTTAGTTTCCGAGGATGAATTCTTGGTTGGCAATGAATTATACAAATTGTTTTAAATAAATCATTCATCAATCTTTTGTAGTTACATGAGATACAAAACCGAACATAATATCAAGGTGTAGTATTCACTAAGAACCGACATTAGTTTTAACCATTCGAAACACTAAGTCAAAACCCTAGGGTTCACATTTTCTTACTTCTGTCAATTCACGATATAGCGTAATTACCATCCAATATCATCAGTGAGTATTTGTTATCAAGTTCAACTTGGTTTACTCCAAAGGTCATGACTTCTCACTGGAACTTTAGAAGGTCTCATCTGGAAGTACGTCACTAGTGAACAGTGGACAGCATTTCAGTTATGGGTACTGATTAATTTCAAGATAGGAGTCCTACTGTAGGAACGAAACAGCCGTCCAATATTCCCCGTTCCTTAATGGTTATACAAATGATGCCAGTTCACGATGAGTACTACCTTGAAATCAATCAATCCACACAAACCTTCAAAGGTCAAATAGACCAGGGTTGACAAAAAGTAACCTCCATTAGTTTCTGAACAAATGCATTTTATAACGTTTATTTTTATATGTGTAATCCTGGAGTACTATATTAGAACAAATAACAAAATAAACAGACATTTTGTATTATCCCTCCTCAATATTTCGACCTTCTTAGGAAGATCCTTTTCAAGGGTATGAATGTGACATTAAATTCTCAGATTGATGTTGATACCTGTCGAAGAGATACACATTCTAACAAGTCCCGTGACTTCGATTCATTTCATCCACTAAAAACTAAGTTAAATGTTGCCAAAAATCTGTTGACGAGATCACAGAGGATACCAAATAAAGTGGAATCTCAAAAAGTAGATAGGCAACTTATTCGGGAAGTCTTAAAATAAAACAGCTACCCGAGAAAGCAATTAAAGAATTTAAAAAAAAGACAAGCCATAAAGACTGGATAAGTAGTGTAGTACTTTCCTATGGAATATCCACATCAGAGGAAATAAAGTGTATCGTTAATAGTTACAACATCAGAGTATTCTTTAAGGTGACGAACACTTTGTACTCATATCTGCGCATATTAAAATACCCAATCCCCCAATCGAAACAACAGAACTGTGTTTACAAGATAGATTATGGTGAATGTAATGCCATATACATTGGAGAGATATCATATCAAGTGATTAACACGTCTAATTGAACACATTAGAAATTACAAGAAATCACTAAAATGATATAGAAAAACTTGAAAAAAGCTCTGTCATCGCGACTTATGCCTTATATTCAGGTCATAAATATATCATTTCAAAAAGCAAAAGTCTTGCGAAATGGATTTTCTTTCTCATTAAGAACTAGTTATTGCAAAAGCTTTGTATATGTGTTCGCACCCTTCTTCAGTCAACAGAAAAGATGGGTTAGACATCCCACCTAGATGGTGGCAAACATTAATAACTTGTATAGATAGTTGTAAATAATATATGAAGAGAAGATAGAACACAAATTCATTTCACAGTATTCTACATGATTTATTCCAAAAATATTCATGGTTGAATACTTCTCGATGTTATTTCCCCTGATTGTCTTAATCATTTCATAAAAAAGTATTGGCTTTATTTTAACAACTTGTCTAATCCTATCATATAATCCCTTATTGATCTACTATTTTACGCTCCTTTCTGAGTTGAATCTATTCCATATATATATTGATACTCGGTGATGATTGAAGGTGAAATGAAAATTCGGACTGCGGAGAGATTCAAACCGGCGACCACCAGGTGTCCGGCCAGCTGCTCTGCCAACTAAGCTACGAGGTCCAACTGCTGACCAGATTTTTATTTCACGTCAATTACCGAGGGTTTTGCTCGACTACCATGTGAATTCGTGATGCGTTACTACTGCTTGATCGTATTCACATCTGGCCGGAAACTCAGTGGTCACCGGTCCGAATCCGGCCGTGGTTCAAATTTCCATTTCACCTTTAATCATTATCCAGTATTAATACTACTCTGCCAAACCACGGCTATCTCAGAGAGTCAAAATGACATTCTATATATCATGTAATCGATTTTGTTATCATATATACTTCAACTGTTATCAAAAGTACCTTTATCGTTATCATTATTATAAACAATATCGCTAATTACCGATTGTTTAATGCTCAAATATTCGTCTTTTGAAAATAGCAACCTATGCCTTCTCACCCTTCATGACTCACAACCCCACTGTACTTTTCATAGTCAAACTAAATCTCCCCACCCCCTATTTTTGTTCCATCTTACTTGCACAACTGGTAAAAGCTTCTCGGACCGATTTGCTAGCTCACTCATCTACAACATTATATTGATCTTTATTTTATATCACAACGTAATTGGATGATCGTAAAGATCACCTTCTGTACCAAAACTTGAATATTAACCTGAAAACTTGATGTTACATTGACACTCTTAAAAAGGATCTCCTTAATAAGATCGAGACATTAAGGAAGAATTATACAAAATATTTGTTCTAAAGATTGACCTTATACGATGTATCATACTAACTCGGTGCCCAAGGTTTTTAATAGCATCCAATCCATTATTGGTCAAGATACATTCATTCTGAACAAATACTTTAAAATAAAACTTTGAAATTACAAAGATGATAAGAACACGTACAACTTCAACTGATAAATACTGATTAGCATATTTTAATGGTTACTGTATTATGCATATTGACATACCTTGAAAGTACACTGCTAACATTAGTGTATTTCACAGCAAGATTCCTACCTGCAATGGAATCGTATGACTGAGAAGTTTGAGATAAAGATGCTAAACTGTGTGCGTGACGTAGACTTGAAGAAAAGACTTTCAGAAATGAAGATGTATCGCTTGGACATCGTCTATGACCACCAAACAACTATATAAACATACATTTATAAAAAAAGATGAAGAGATAGTATATCAAAAAAAGTATTAAATTTTTGGATAATGTAATTAGAAAACGAAAATTATCTAAACAATATGTGATGTTTTAGTGTTATTGCTTGTATTACACCGTCGTTGGTTGGACCAAATTGACCAGTCTCTGTTGGCCTGTGTTTTTAATTATATATAGTAATGATGGGCAGTGGCTAGCAGTGGAGTCCAGGATGCGCATTTCGTCCTATTTAGGACTCGTCAGCTGGATGTACCTGAAGTACAAGAGGTGGTTATTGTGGCTAGGTGGTGTAGTGGATAACGCTCTCGCGTTTGAAGCGATCGCTCCCGAGTCCGAATCCCGGTGGGAACAACATCACTCACTGTGAGGCAGGTACATCCAGCCGACGAGTCCCAAATAGGACGAAACACGCACCCTGGATTCCGCTGCTAACTACCGCCCATCATTACTATAAATATCTGATGTGTTTGTGCTATACATTTCGAACAATCTGATCACACATTTACTTGTTAAGGCATGATATATGAAAACAAAATAAGCTTAACGTGTGAAAGAAAACTATCTGCCATTCTTGGATATACTCATAAGTCGTAGAAATGATGGTTCAATAAAACAATCGATTTATAGAAACCCACTTGGACAGATCAGTACTTAAGTTTCCATAACTTTTGTCCAACAATACAAATGAGGTTTAGTAACTTGCCCATCTAAAAGGATCTAGCATATTTGTTCAAAAGACTCAATGGATGATCACATGAAAATACTAACTAAAACATTGAAGTTTATAAACCGCTGCAAAAAGTCAGCCAGAATTGAAATCTAATCTGTACTCTGTTTCGAAGAAATACGTTTACATCACGTTACCATACAGAGGAGAATTTAAAAGCATAATATTAAAACGCAGGTTATGGTCTGCTGTTAGCAAAACGTGCAATTCAGTTAAACTTATTGTAGTTTCGAAGATCAAACGTCTCAATGCGCTGTACAAATGATTGTGTCACATCGCACTGTGTCTATCAATTTACGCGCGCGTGTGTGTGTGTGGACAAACATACATTATTATTTATTATTATTTTTCCCTTGGGTTCATAGTGGAATATAGGGCTTCAGTAACACGTCTCCATTGCACTCTCTTCTCTGAAGTCTTTTGCACCTGGCGCTACGACTCCCCACAAGCGTTTCATTTTTTCCTCACATGATCTCCTTCATGTCACCGTCGGACGCCCAACTAGTCATTTCCCTTTTGGATTCCACTCGAGGACCTGGCACGTGATGTCTCCGGATGGTCTTCTCAGTGCATGCCTAATCCATCTCCACTTCCTTCTGCATATTTGTTGGGTGATAGGTTCTTGGACAAACATATAGAGGGAGGAATAATCGTGATATCCACTTGAGGGTAGGAGAATATGCACTAAAATAGCTAGTAAAGCAGCTGGATTCACAAAAATCGATAAGCTCAGGTGGCCAAAAACCATCATCATTATCATCCATTGCAAAAAATATTGATAAAGGTCATAGAATTGATATTAAAACAGTTTTTACAATTTTGTATAGAAACTGTCAGGGACGTATACTTCGATTTGTTGAAGCGCTAGTCATAAAAAAATAGTATGCGCGAAAAACAGTTTGTCTTTACGCTAATTCTACCTTGGTAATGCTTACTTTGTTGTATTATCAGTATTGTCTTCAAATCTTATCTTTTTTCTTTTCATTATCTTTCTTATTATTGAATTCCTTCATGTCATGTTTATCCTTCCCCCACTTCCAGTCTTCATATATAATGCCTTAACAAGTAAATAGGTGATCAGATTGTTCGAAATGTATAAAACAAATACATCACAATTTTAAGATAGTCTACGTCTTCTAATTACCTTATCCAAATTCATAAAAGGGACTGTTTCCAATAGTAAAGTTGTTTATTGAGTATTACTTGGCCGAGGAAGAGACAAGAGATGTACAAATTTCTTCTAGATTCAAAAACTAGTACTCGTAGCTCGAATTCCGACAGCTTCTGCTACGTGTAAAAGATGAGTTTGAATACCCTTCGAAAGATGAAATGGTTTGCGGTGAAAGCACTGTTCTTATCTACCAAATGACCACTATCAACCAGATGAGATAAAATAGAACTCCTGATGAATTTTATCTCTCCCATTTCCCAACCATGAAGGTAGATGCTTAGCAACACGTTTGTTAAGTTATCCGTTTAGTATGCTCTGTATGGCTTTCTTCACAGGAGCAGCTAAACTTGTAAATACACATAGAAGTGATAAAACTAGATTCCTTATCTTTTGTCTGAGAGGCAACAATTGGTCGATTGGAAAATGACAGACAGAGTTGTGCGGCGTAGAAGGTCCTCTTAATGGCTCTAAAGAGTCTCTGGTATGAAAAACTTCGGCCAAATCACCATTACATTTCAATTTCATAAACAACTGTTTCTTTTTCATGGTAATAATTCCTTTATGTCATATTTGTCCTTCCTCCACTTCCAATTTTCATATATAATGCCTTAACAAGTAAATGTGTGGTGAGATTGTTCGAAATGTATAGCGCAAATACATCACATATTGTTCAGGTGATCTACTTCTTTTAATTACCTTACTCAAAGTTATAGAAGGGAACAACGGTACTAAATTTTGTTTGGATTAAACTTTATTGCTCCGAATTGTGTAATTCGATGAGTAAAGTGATTGATTATGCTAACACATCTCATTTAAGGCGGAATCAATCATGTTGAAATTAAGTAGACTTATCAGCAATAATTATACCTACGCATTGACCACAGATTTTCTTTATTAAAGATGTTCATTCTGTTCCTTAAACATTCATAAATCATGGATTCAACATTGGAACCATTTACCAATACATTCAGATAAAAACCAGTTGATGTGACGGAGAACAATCGGTTAGAGAAGAGAGGATGGACACGGACTGATGTGATTCAAATCCACAGGAATCCCTAGACACCTGTTGTTCAACATTTATTTTGTCTGGTTCCTTTTGACAAAAATGAAATCTCTACAGCATGTTGATACGATTCCAGGGATATTTTCGTGGTGAAATTTATGACTTAATATCCACACGACAGGCAAAGTTACACATATTAGTCAGTTGGTAACCCTACAGATCATGCTAGAAGGAATAGAGGTATAACGTGAATGATCTAATATCTCTATATTTTACCTATACGACAAAAGTAGAAGTTTTGAACGCCATAAAAATACTGAAAGCCGGGAAAGCAGCAAGACCAGAAGGAATTCCTCCGAAAGCACTGAAAACAGACGCAGAAACATCAGCGAACATGCTCACACCACTATTGAAGAAGGCTTGAAAGGAAGGAAGGAAGGGTACCTGCCAAGTGACTGGAAGAAGGGCTACCTTATCAAACTCCCAAACAAGGGAGTTGTGCTACACGCCAAGTCAATGCTTCTATGTGATGGTTGAGACTTGGCGGCGCGTTACGAAAAGCATTCCCAACAAACTGCACACATACATCAACAGCTGCCACCTACCCCCTCACTCGATACTGATGATTGATCAGATGGCCACAATAATTAGAATAAACAACAAGGAACTCTGGTTGGTTTGCTGGCTGGCAACGAATCAACCGATCAAGAACCCAACGCCCAACAAATATGCAGAAGAAGAAAGTGGAGATGGATTGGATTGAACATACACTGAGATGGCCGATTGGGGACATCACTTGTCAGGCCAGGCCGACGAGTGGAACCCAAAGGGGCAGCGACGTGTTGGGTGTCCGAGGCGACGTTGACATGGAGGAGATCGGTTGAGGAAGAAATCAGAGTTTTTTGTCAGTCGTGGAGCCAGGTTGAAAAGACTGAAGAGAAGAGGGTGAAATGGCGACGTGCTACTGAAGTCCTTTGTTCCACTAGGAATAATGATAATAACAACAAGGTACAAAAGTACAGCTTTCTACAGTGAACAAAAAGAGTATCCTTCCCCCTTCCCGAAAAAATTCACACCAGCAACCTGATCCAACTGTCCAACAACATCATTAAAGGCCAGATGATTAAACATTACTACTAGACAGACAGAGGCGGGAGGAAATATTCTGCATTGAATAAAAATGATCATAAAGAGACAGACTTACTGAAGCATCTGAATCAAGTTGATAAGAGTTATTCGCATCTGGTAAGCTTGCTGTTTGATTGTATTGTACAAAGCTAGAGCTTTGAGTGCGCTGATGACCACCGATTTTTATGATACCTGGTTCATCTGATTGACTATTGAATTGGTTGTTAGAAAATTCTGTGGGCCAACCTACCTGGAAACAAAGTATCCAAAAATGAAATAGAGTAGTTTTAAGTGGAAATCTAACAAGATTAGAATTACTGTGAAATTTATCCAAATCAATCTCATCTATGATGTCTAAATGACATTATTCACATCTCAAAACAAAGGTATTTCTACAACACTAAAACTTGATAGCCTATTTCAGAATGACTGGCTGACTGAAAAAATCAGCGTACAATCTCGCACACATTTGTATCGGTTCAAGTTGCCATACTTTACGGGAGTATACAAAGAACAGGTGAATAGAATAAGATTGATATCAAAGTGGATAAATTTATGTAAGAGAATAAGCAAATTGAAGATAAAGGTTAGTGTAAATATTCAAGCTTTAAAGGATGTCAAGGAGTGAATACATCTGCGTTATTGTGACCAAGAGTTCTCAACCACTGATTCCTTTTGTCTCGAGGACCCCAACCAGATAGTCGTCATCTCTGAACGCGGTTAAGGTAAGTAGTCAGGGACTACATCAACTGGTGCCACGTCTCAGTCTCTAGAATGACACGTAGAGGGAGGTGGTGACACAGCATGCGCAGTACATGTTCAAGCAATCTCAGTCGACTAAAATTCACAATCGACTTGCCTGTCATTCCTGAGTCCCGGTGGGAACAACATCACTCACTGGGAAGCAAGTACATCCAGCTGACGAGTTCCGAATAGGACAAAATGCGCATCCTGGATTCCACTGCTAGTCATGATCCACTATTAATATAGTAGGTTATTTATTCTTACGAATTTTTGAAAGTCCATATAGATCTGGAAAATTAGTTCCTCCGGGTTTTAAGGAATTGATACTCCGCTTTAACAGTAACATTCATATTAAGGAGTTTAACTAGACTAGTTGTTACTTTTCTTCATAATTTTCTAATAGCCTCTGATGGAACGTCAAACACGAATTTACTTTCATCACAAAGAATAGACAACATTTTATTTTTGTAGTCAACACTTTGGTCACTGACACAATACCTGATCCTTTATCGGGTTAAAGAATTATCACATCACGATTGTTCTGTAGGTTTTTCAGGGATTTCAGGGATAATCTTCGTCTTCTAATAACGTTATCAAAAAAGGGACTAATTGTTTCAAACATAAATAAAAATGACTAGGTATATTAACTGTTTTACGCCTGTAAGTTAGAATAATGTAGCTGATATTTGGTTGCTCATTACATCGTGAAAATGGAGTGACTTTAAAGGCCACCCGAGCAACAATCGAAATAACCAATTAGGTTCCTTCATTTTGACTGGGAAGGCGAATGTTCACGAAATGCAGAAGTTTGATTGGTTGTTTCGGTTGTTGCTAGGGTGGTCTTTAAAGTAGCTCGTGTAGATAATATATGTTCAAGTCTGAAAGCTAATAAGGGCTTGACTGTTACTATAATTATTTGAGAAGTATGTTACTCAGTTTCCATCATTTAGGATAAATCAGGTAGTATAGACTAGGGGACCTGTTAGCCAGAAGTTGTAGTTCAAGTGACTGATCTCATATTACATCAGAGTGACTTTAAAGGTCACTGTAAACTCTAACTATTGAGATACACAATTAGGTATATGTAGCCCAGGCAACAAACCGAAAACTGATTGGTTATTTCAGTAGTTGCTAGCGTGGTTCTTAGAATTGCCCGTGCATCACCGTAGAAAAAACAAAAATGAATGAGAAAAAAGAGGAAAGTAATTGTCGGCAATATAAAAGTCATTGAAACAGAAGAAAGGATAAAACAATGGTGAGAATTCATGTGACAACTAAGACGAAGATAATTTGTGGACGCATCTCCACCACGAATATTGATTCTGGTTACGATCGCCTTGAGTTCCTAACCGCTGACTTTAGCTGTCACACATGGAGACATACAAATCAACGGAAAATCTCGAACAGAAGTGAATCCGGTTCAATTTACCACGCTACACAGTAGCACGTAAAAACAAGTGAATAGATAAAGAGTGATAATAAAGTAGTCACAAATGTAGAGGTGGAAATGCAATCTTCACAAAATGAAGCCTAGTGAAAATGCTCAAACTTCCTGAAGATATCAGAGAGCCATTTTACCTATTTTCTAAAACCAGTCACGCGGACTTCAACTGGGAAGTTTACATTCCCCTACACGACTACACTTTAGTTCGGTTGTCTCTAACTTTTTCCCATAGTAAACTTATTTCAGCTAATATTGAGCGATGGTGTAAATGGTGACTTGTCATGTGTAACAGATGTGCTAACCATATGAGTCGATGGAAGTTCAAAATCTGATTAACTGACTTTCATCGGCTAGCTAAAACTCTGCGTCAAACTTCTACGCTACTGAAGTGATGGCACCATGATACATGGATTTTCCTACGAAAGCCGTGGTGACTGAACATTTGAAACGATCTCATATCCTACACTTTTAATGATCATATTTCACAGCCATAACGTAAAAGAAAGCAGACTAAAGCGCTATACACTCGACGCTCAATAGGTAATCGGAAATCATAGCAGTGTTACAAATGGCGTAAGCTGATAAATGCTGATCAAGATTTTGGAACTGTGCATAGATTTCATCAGTCACTGATCCAATCACAGGTGATCCAAACTCTCAAGTAAGTGAAGCTGTCAGTGCATTCTACAACTTTTCAGCCTACTTCCAAGCGAATTTTTGACAAAAACCAGTCTTGAGGAAACAAAACACGTTTGGCTGGTGAGAAACGCATCTCACGTTCTCAAACCTGATACCCATAGCACGCAGAAGACTCTGCATCTTATCACCATCCTCCTCACTTGCACAGACTTAACTTTAAACTCTAGAGCAACAGGTTCAACTCTTAAAATATCAGATGAGGATAGGAAGACTTCAATACGCAAGTCAATGACAAAATCAAATTAGAATGAACATCTTTAATGGATACTAATCAATGTACACAATTCATCTTGATCACGTCCATGAGCGTTTGAGTATAGAGCTTTCAGTAAATCATATTATTGCTTGCGATTTTCCGTCGTTGATTAGACCAGATTATTTGGCCTCGATGGGTATATGAATCCGATTAGGTGTTACTTAACCATCTGTTGACCGGAAGCGTGAGGAAAGTACCAGGTAGGTCTATGGAGGCACATATTGAGACCTAAGAAAGCAGTAATCGAAGAATCCATGATATGGCTTGAAACCAACTGTAATGCTGCGTATACATATTCATGCTTTGTAACATTTCTTTATCCATTTGCTATGCCTTATCTAATAGTTTCATTCATTTTGTTATTCGAATACCTTACTCACTACTACCACTGAATTACCTTCTTTGTTTTAGGAGTATGCTAAAGTGTACCGCGACACTTTGATACAAGGTACTTCTCCTAAACACTACTCTCTTCAGTAACGGTATAGAAATTATATGATGGAGGAAAAGAGTAACACCGAACATATAACAACACTAGCCGTAGGAGTAGGGTTCAAACTGATGGCCTATCCTACAGCCGAAAGTAGTGTTTAGACCAGAAGATCACACATCCAAACATTATTATATATATTAATTGTCCCTTGAATTTGTAGCGGAACAAAGGACTTCAGTAGCACGTCGCCATTTCACCCTCTTCTCTTCAGTCTTTTCAACCTGGCTCCACGACTGACAAAAAACTCTGATTTCTTCCTCAACCGATCTCCTCCATGTCAACGTCGCCTCGGACACCCAACACGTCGCTGCCCCTTTGGGTTCCACTCGTCGGCCTGGCCTGACAAGTGATGTCCCCAATCGGCCATCTCAGTGTATGTTCAATCCAATCCATCTCCACTTTCTTCTTCTGCATATTTGTTGGGCGTTGGGTTCTTGATCGGTTGATTCGTTGCCAGCCAGCAAACCAACCAGAGTTCCTTGTTGTTTATTCTAATTATTGTGGCCATCTGATCAATCATCAGTATCGAGTGAGGGGGTAGGTGGCAGCTGTTGATGTATGTGTGCAGTTTGTTGGGAATGCTTTTCGTAACGCGCCGCCAAATCTGTGAAGCGTCACACACAAGCACTGACTGATATGAACTGACTCAGTTTTGGAAATCCGGATGTTGTTCACGCTTTATGCTGAGTGCATTGCAGTGGAGTAGAGCGAAGTAGATCTCCACACTGATTGTTTCAGATTAATGAAGGCAGGTCTGTCTTGTTTGCTTTTCCGATCCTGTCCTTGATATGCTCATGTATGCCTGTGCCGCCACCTGTAGTTGAAACGATGCTGCCTGCCTAGGTAGCGAGGTAAGTGAAAAAGACAACTTGCTTTCGATTTCTCCTGTTGACGGTGATTGGTGCTTGTTGTTATTGTTGGTGTTGATTGGGTATCTTCATCGCGTCTGCCTTCTCTACATTCACCTGGAGGAAATCCCGTCTTCGTTGCCCTGTCCTGCCTCTTATGCCAACTTGTTAGTTTTTGCCTGTAGGTCATCGAGTTTGTGCAACATTAGATATTACACATAAATCATCATCATGGGTGAAATCCAAATCTTCTTCTGGGGGTCTTTTCATCTCATCGGTCAAACAGCGTATGCCCTCTTCTCGCTCCTCACTGTTTGCTGCATGATCCAGTCGACCACAATCAGGAAGATGATCGACGATGATAATAGGTGGTAATCTTGTCTTACTCCTGTCCCCTGTCTTCACTTCTAGGGCAACAGTGAGCTTTCCATTGTGAATCACTTGGCAAGTAACATCCTTATTTAGCGTATAGGTGTTGAATGAGGTTGATGAAGTAGGTGTAAAACTCGGGCACTGTGATAGAATTTTATTCCATATTAGATTTGTTTATTTGATTTACAATACAGTGATCTAGTATTATTTACTTGATGACGTTTCAAGCATAAATTATCATTGCTCATATCCATATCAATGTAATCACACTACTTTCGACATTTCATTTTTATAGTTACGTCACTTATATGAGTTGTTTCGATTAGTAGCAAAACTTTCCATATCTCTGGCATAAGTGTTGCATCATTTCTATTACATGTGTTGAGTGTTGATTCGATGCACAAAGATTCAGTAATCAATCTCTCCCTTTCTCCACCTAATTATATTGGACTTGAGTACAGTGGCTTTATCCCACCCTATTGTGCGGTTGTGTGTTAATGTATGCATAGCAATAGCCGAGTTTTTTTTCTACATTATTGATCTTATTTAGGTCTGTTATTTTATATTTAGATAAATTTCTATGTTTGGCTATTCTAACTGATCTCGACCGACTAGTTTGATCTATGTACTTGACCTCACAGCCAATACATGGAATTTGATAGATTAGATTATTTTGCTTAATTGGTTCTGTCGGATTCTTAAGCCAGCCAGCAAAGTTTATCTCTGAATGAGTTTGTAGGTTTAAATGCCATAATAAATATTGAAAACACATACACACACAAAATGAAGAGAAGAAATTATACGAAACTATCTTTCATCAGAGTAAGACTTACATTTGTTGATAGTCGACTGAACGGATCAGGAGATACTGTACTTACATTCTGATTTAAATCAGTACCCAATACACTAGGATCAGGTAAATCTGTAAAATTTATATTGCTGTTTATAAGTCCACTACCAGGTGGTTCAACAACAATTTGATTGACAGTGTTACCAAACACACGATTATTATTAACACTATGAGAAGGATGGTTGAAACAATTAGGTCTTGGTCTTTCTCTTGGAGCTACTGATGTATTAGTAATCATTAGACTGTGTTGATCTATCGATTGTATTGATTGTTTCTGATCTGGTGAACATGATTTATTTTGGGTATTGGTTGCCGGAGAAATTGGCCTAATAGAAATAAAGGAATGAATAAAAGACGGATACAAAAAATATTGTTGCAACAACTTGTATCAGTCATTTGAAGCTGACAGCACTTCTTTGCCGCTTCACATTCACAAAGTGGATTTTACTTAGCCATACACAAGATTCAGAAGTAATTTGGTAGTTGCTTCAACACTACAAAGTGCCACAAACCTTTATCAACCTCATTCAACAACTATATGAAAATGCCACATGCCAGGTGATCTCCAATGGAAACCTAAGTGACACCTTTGAAGTGAAGACAGGAGTAAGACAAGGCTGCCGCCTACTACCAATCATGATCTCTTTCACCTACCTCGCTACCTAGGCAGGCAGCATTGTTTCAACTACAGGCGGCGACACAGTCACAAATGAGTATGTCAAAGAAAGCATAGGCAAAGCAAACAAGACAAGCCTTCCTTCATTAATCTAAAACAGTGTAGAGATCTGCTGCACTCAGCACAAGATCCGGATTTTTAATACCAATGTCAAGTCAGTGCTCCTATATGGTTCAGAGACTTGGCGTGTCAAGGAAAGCAATTCTAGCAAACTACAGACATTCATCAAAAGCTGCTACCTACCCTGGCTCGATACTGAAGATCAGATGGACAGAATAATAAGCATAAGCAACAAGGAACTCTGTCTGGGAAACGAACCAACCAACAACCCAACGCCCAACAAATATGCAGAAGAAGAAAGTTGAGGTGGATTGGGCATACACTGAGAAGGCCGATTAGGGACATCATACTCCAGGCCCTCAAGTGGAATCCAAAAAGGAAACGACAAGTTGGGCGTGCGAGATGAGGGTGACATGAAGGAGATCATGTGAGGAAGAAATGAAGGCATTTGGTCAGTCATGTAGTCAGGTTTAAAAGACTGAAGAGAAGAGAGTGCAATGTAGGCGTGTTACTGAAGCCCTATGTCCCACTATGAACCCAAGGGAAAAATAATAATAATAATACACAAGACTCATAACTCAATTTCATAACAAGGATGAAAATGTAACTAGTTCGATACTAACACAATAACTCTGACATTTTTTTACTTGGTTGTTGCTATGAGAAGAATCTAGGAAGCTCGTTTTTCCTATTTCGGAATTGTCAGCTGAATGTACCTGCATCCTAGTGCAGAGTAATGTTATCCTCACTGAGCCTCGAATCTCGTATCCATCGTTTCAAACGCCTGTGGGTTATCCATAAGGACAGTGAGGCATGATAACCACCTCTTGTATAACGAGTATTAATTATCACTATTTATTTATATGCTTGTAATTCTTCGTTGTTTTACTGGATCGAACTATTCAACCCCTATTGGCATAGAGGCTCCTATATGGATGCTTCGATATTTCCTGAAAAAAATTTTAAAAAATCACTACACTGATATACTTATGGGTATTATACTAGTGGAAATCATCTGGCGGTTATCTTGAAACTCTAGAAGATACATACGTGCCTATACATACTTAAAGGCATGAAGCACAAATATTTTCTTGGTGTGATATAATACATCTAACAAAACACTACATCCAACCTCAATATACACTAGTTACTAGCCTGAGGTTCCGACGTAAATGCCTGGATTGTACAAAAAAACTACATGAGTCACTACGTGGGCACAAAACATATAACTATTCCTATAGAAGAAATTGATTATTAACTATACTTAGATGTCGTTGTTGTTATTGAAAGTAGTGAGATAATATGCTGATGTTGCGTTCAATCCCTGGCGGTGTAACAATAACATACTACTCAAAAGTGTTATATTAGGGCAAAACAGCTGTTAAGTGCTCTCAGGTTTCCAGTGGTTCTTCTCCATAATAATTAAAAGAGTGAAAATCAACTACTAGCAAGTTATAACTTATTCACTAAGAAGTACCAAAGCTTGACCTAAGCAAAATTGGAAATAAAGAAAAAGTAAATCAGCGAAGAAAATCTTCTTTTCCGACGATATCATTTCCTATAGCTGTACAATCGTATTTATACATATATCATAAACAGATAACAGTCTATTATTAAATTTTGAGGGAGTTGTGCAGATTTGGAAATATTTCAAGTTGTTATTCATCGTAGAATGACATCAGTTGGAGGAACAAATTAAACCTGGGAGCACTGCACAGCTGTTTCATCCTAGTATGAGTGCGCACTGATGAGGAGTCACATACTAGGACGAAACAGCTATCCAGTGCTCTCAGGTTTCCTTTATTCCTCCAACTGATGTCAGTCTATTATTAATCAATAGTATATAACTGTACCATAAAGCCAGCTGGTGCTAAACTACCAAAATCAAGAATGAAAAATAGTTGTGTAATACTCTTTTAGACAGTAGCAATAACGAGGAAGGCAAGGAGTTTAACACAAGGTGAAAATTGTTAGTAGGTGAGAAAGGCGAATATTGAGTGTCCACTTGATAGACAGATAGATAGATGTAAAGAAGGTGAAGAATGAGACAAGGGTCATAATGAAGGTGGTAATAATAAACTAATTAATGACAATGAAATCCAAAAATGTGAAATTGTTAAGACCATGGTAAAATGAGAGAGTGAACATACTTCTCTTACACGCACAGATCAGGTTTGAATTGTTGAATTAGCAGTCCTTCTGCTGTGCACAACTGTCGAAGGCGTACTCTTTTTAAAGTATTCCATTCGACTATATAAATGACACTGAAGGAGGACTCTGGTCGAGCTATATGTCCAGAGTTGACCAAATGTTCAAGAATTGAACTGTTAACTGGTTTACATTCTTACCTTGACAACCATGCAGGATAGGATTCAGAGATACATTTGGAAAGTGCGCTCTTTGTACGGCCTGTATAACTAGCTCTACAGGAACAAGTAAATTTGTAGTCATACACTGAGGTGGCCCAAACAGGCAACTTATTTTAAAGGCGATACGGCAGCAGAGATCTTGAAGAAATGGCTGTTCAAATCGCTAAAGACATTCTTCTTTGCGAAGCTACAGATCATCTCTAGTTAGCAATTGGTTCCGGTGTGTGTTAAGGAAAAGTTTCCGCTTTGGGCTACCTGAGTGTGTCTACAAATTTACTTGCTCCTGTAGAGCTAGTTATACAGGCCGTACAAAGAGCGCACTTTCCAAACGTATCTCTGAACCCCATCCTGCATGGTTGTCAAGGGTTGTTAACATATAATTAACAAGCAATGTCTATCAATCAAGGTTCCAAAAGTAAATCCACACAACAGAAATGGTAAGATGAGAAGGCTCTAGACAAAAGAATAAATGGATAAGATATATACTGAAACTCCATCTAAATGATGAGTATTTAACAGAAGGTTTGATATAGGCTCGGATTTCTGAGGGGATATCAGTACCCTTGAGGTTGCACTAAGAGACCTTGCTGACGAGTGCCAACAAGCACGAAACCTACATCCAGAGCTTCCTGCTGATTCTTACCAATCAACTAACGTTCACCAAGGGTGCACAGCGATGGTAACCATATTCCAAAATGATCAGTAGAATTCAATCAGTACTCAAGGAAATTGGCTTCTCTCTCCAGTAACCAATCATAGTTTGAGTATATTTACTCAGTATCAATATAAAACGACTGTGGCATATGCAATTTTAAAGGAATATTTCACCCTACTCCCCTCGGGGATATATGAATTATCTGAGTTGTTATAACGTATAACGAGCGTTTGCTCTCTAGCAGACAGTTTCATAAATAGCGTGCAGATGTGGTCGATTATCTTAAGTACTTAACTTCTAGAAATGAGTCTTGGATCCAAACCCTACTCAACTTCATTATTAGCAACTGGATAATATGATAAACAGTCACAGTAGAATTGTGACTAACAGTCTAGTACATAAGCATCTGTCCCAGAGTGAGTCTCAATGATGTATAACAATAATAATGATGATCTTATGAACAATTTTCCAGTAGAATATATCAATAATTTCATCCAATCTACTATACAGCTACCATGAATTGTTTAACTTCATAGAGGGTCTGAAACACAACAATAGCATGACAAATATAATACTACTGAACAATTTGAGCAGTAACAAAATACTCAGGCTCGTCTTCAGATTTCACCAGTCAGGTCAGAGTGATGTAAATACCAGACAGCCGTTTCGCTCGTTTGGAGTTAGTGTACCCGGAAAAATTCACCTCATACACCTAAATTAGTTAAGATCACCTCAATCTGGCTAGCTGACTTCCATAAACTGGAATACCTAAAGTAGGACGATCAATTTACCAGAAATTTACAAATTGCACCGTCCGAGTTAACACTGCTTATTAGCTGAATAGTTTTCAAACTGCACGAATGTGGTGTCAACAGGCTTCCTGCTGAAAACTACTCAAACAGGATCATTTATGAGATCTCTAGGACAAAATTGTCATAGATCTGCATATTTTGCCAGTAAGACAAGAATAAAAATAATCACTGTATCTAGAATGACCGTGAACAGTGGCGGGTAGTGAAGGCTAAAGGGATGGAAAAGGCAGCAGAGATAGGTAACAGCAGATAACTATTAAGACTTATTAAGGAAACCGGGGCGAAAAGATCAACGGTTCGTGAGACGACTGGGACGATAGGTGGAACACCTGAAGGAACAATTCAACTGGCCTCCAGCTACTACTGTGTTGTCCACTATCCAGTCAGATCCATAATAGAACATTGAGACTGGCCCACAACACTTGGAGAGATCGAGAAAGCGGTAAGTAACTTGAAACGAGTAAGGGCAAAAGAACCAGACAGACTAGTTCCTGAGGTATTTAAGGATGGTGGTAAAGTGATTTCAGTCAAACTAACTGAAGTATTAACTAGTGTATGGGAGTCAAACATGATCCCCTCTGACTGGCCACAATCACTGATTATCCCAGCCTTCAAGAAAGGCGAAAAGCCCTCTTGCGGTAAGCACAGAGGAATCAATCTGACGAATATAATGTCTGAGATTCTGGATTCTATTATCATTAGATGCCTGAGTAGGGCTCAGGAACAGCAAGCCCAAGAAAACTAGGCAGGTTTC